TAGAGGGCGTTGTACTGTAGCAGCAAAAGTTCAACGGGGTCAACACACCGTCCGACCTAGCTACGACCATCACCAAGACTGCAAGAGTATGGGGGTTATGTACTCTTGCCATCACTGATTGTAGTGGACTGGACATGATTGTTATCAAGGGAGTCGTAAACCTACAACTTCCTAGTGCATCTACTTGTACTTGTACTTGTAGAGCATGTACAACTGTATGGAATTTGATGCGAACAGGCGGACTATTATGCTAGCATAATCCGTCAAGGCCTATACAATTCTCACTCTTTTGCTGTTGCTGCTGATCGTGATAGGCATATGCCGCTACATAATGCACACCCTACACCAATTTCCTGGGATCACTTGAACCAGTATAGACTTTACGTTATTCTTTATTTCCACGATGGCCCATGGCCAATAAGGAAGATAATGTGATTCAAATCAGTCCAGAATCATATAAAATCAGTCTAGCAAGTCAGGAAACCAACACATTGCAGGGGGATGGGGCTACGATGGGGTACAGTGTGAGCTACTACAGGAGCATATGGATGATAGAATGAGGCTAGACGCCATTGATTTAAACGCATGCTTGCTATTTTGTTTCACGCAGGTCGGGGGGTAGTTGGTTGAAATTGTGAAGGGACAGGTTGATGGGTGAGTTGGTGTGTCGGTATGTGTGTGATGTTCTCAATGTGTATGTTCTCATGTGTCGTAGTGCATATGGCTGCTTTGTAGTTGGTCGTGCAAGGTGAGGCTGTTGCGGGTGAAGTGGAGCGCGCGGATGTACTTGATGTTGTCGGCAAGAGTAACCTGTTGTAAGAGTTGCCGGGAGACTAATGTGGGAAGTTGGAGATGATGAAGAAGTGAGCTGTGATGGACTTGTTCCACTAGATCCCGTAGGTTACCGTTTGCTAGGTCGATGTATTGTGTGCTGACCCGGCACATGTGAGCATGATGCTAGTACTGACTAGACACTGTTAGGACCTGTCTAGACATGCGATTGTCTGTACCGTAGCATTAATCTAGTACATGCATGGCATGCAATACCTGCCGGATCATATGACGGAACTGGTTTGCTGATTGGCTGTAGGTCTGTTCGCTTTATCAGCTGTGCTTTTTGTTAGTACCAGTTTCACTTTGGAAAGGAGAGTTTTTTGTCCTGGAGAGAGGACAATAGCAGAGTTGGTATGTCCGTGCCAAGGCACGATGATGTGTGCATACTATTAGTCTAGAGGTTTTCGTTCAGTTACGAAGAACAGAAATAAATACAGTCTTCTTTGGAGTCCAGATTCCGTGACCAAACAGGACTGGTGCAAAAAGGGGGATCCGCAAGCAGATACGGGCTGCTCGTCGCTGAACGCGTTCTAATTGGTCCTTCTGTGTGCGGGTGGTGTTGGATAACACGAGACTGCCGTACTCTATAACCGGGCGAATGTAGGCGGTGTAGATTACGAGCAGACTGGGGGTGTTAATTTAGTTGGCCTCGTGTTTTACGAAGTTGGTGAAGGAGTTTTTTGGATTTGTTTATTATGTGCGTGACATGTGAGTTCCATTGGAGGTTGTTTTGTAGTATGATTCCAAGGTGACGGTGTTTGTTGACTTGCTTTAGGGGTGTGTCGTTAAGAGTGATGTTGAGTTGGTGGTTTGGTGTGAACAACAAGGTAACGAACGGTCTTTGAAATTTGAGGCGTCGACGAGGAGGTGCCATCTGCGCAGCCAGGCTGCGGCAGCTGAAACGGCTGACTGCAGGGACAACTCCGATGTCAAACGGCTCTGGTGTGTTGCGATGAGCGCCGTGTCATCTGCAAATTGGCTGCACTTTGTGTTCGAGTTGGTGCAGACAGAGGGCAGGTCAATGGTGTAGATCAAGAACAGCAGGGGGCCTAGAACGGATCCTTAGGGCACCCCTGCTCACTGAAGGCGTCGCCGACACGAACACGTTGACGGCGATGGGTGAGGTAGTTGACCATCCATTGCAGGGCGGTATCCTTCAGGCGGCTCGTGTTGCAGTTTCTTGAGGAGACAGCATGCTGTTATGTGCACAGGTACATTGACGTGAAATTGGAGTTCACCGAAGGGCGAAGGTGACTTTATTGAGGGTTATTCTCCGCAACTAAGAATAGGGGATCAGCCGGAGCCAATAGACAGACAAACAACCTGGGCCATCGCATACAGAACATTATTACAGTGTGAAATAGTATTACAGGGTACATGTAGGTGTCAGTAGTCGATAACACAATCATCCAAATCCCAAGGTGGCCACTGGCCGATATCAGCACAAAAGTACAAATCCTAAGTGTCGCGAATAGCGAGAATACTACTTGTCAGTAACACATAATCATACAACGTTACAACAAGTGTGAAGTTCTTGATACAGTGGGAGTGTAGTTACATTTACATTCTGTATACAATGATCACACAGCAATGAAGCAAACAAATCTTTTTTCCGCCGTTACTGGGAGTTTCGTGTGAAGCATTCATCAGACAGCATATGACCAAGACTGGCATTCACTAGAATATAATTATACAGAGATTGTTGAGAAAAGAGGGCAGACGTGATGGAGGTATAACATTTCAATAGCGCGAGGAAAAGGAGGTGACCAAAATCAGCGTGATTATAAGAGGAAAAAGATGTTACATACCAATGGGTTTAAAAAAGGAGTTTTGGTGCGTTTTATGTCCCCATGACGTCGAGACCTCAGGTCGGCTGAGGGCAAAAAGCCTCACCATCACTATGCTCCCACTATGCATTTTTTGTCTTTGCCTGTGATCTGTGATCATTGTAAAAATAAAATAAAAAAGTATAGAGCATAGAACTCAGATGGTGAGCCAAGGAACAAATTTGTAACATGGAAAATGTGGGCACAAGTTATGCGATCGAGTCCACCAACAAAACCAGATTTTGAACAGTCAGACGTGCACAATCTAGCATAAAACTGACAATGCGTACTGAGACATTCCACGGCATGAAAGTCAGCTTGAGCACTGCTCGATAGCGCTAACCAACGGCCTTCCAACTTGGAAGGTTCGTGGATTTTAGCTAGTGCTAATTCCAAAGAATGATACGAATGAGCCAAGGGACAACCACCTTAGCAGGACAGGGACACTTCTGTTGCCCACGACGAGGATGATCACTGTGGCAATACTGCATGACCATCATCAGAGTTAGTTCACTGATGATGGTCAATGGCAAAGTGTTTGGGAGTCCTCTGCCTGTTTCTAAAAACTTTCGATGTTGGCTGTGCGAGGAGTGCAGTCAGAGATGACGGGCAAACGCCTAGGTTGGTATCCGAAATCATTTACTCCATTCGCTAAAATCTGACGTAGGGCCCTAGCACTGTCTGATAATATGAAGTGGTATTACTGGTATGTTGTTTGACACGCCGTGGGTTCAGGTGATGAAGGGTTCTTCCCACATATCGGCTATCACAATGTCGATATTCAAAATGATACATGTAGATCATGTGGCCATTTAGCTGGGTAGGGAGAAGGTCCTTCTTCACCGTGAACGCACGCACTGCAGTGAAGACTGGCGTGAAGGAGGTAGCAAAGTAAGTTGTTTGACAACTTTTCCATGGGATGAAGTAAGTAGTTGGTTGTTCCAACGAGGAACACAAGCTTTCTTCCGAACTTGACACTTAACGGACTCACGACTGCCATCCGGAGCACACGAGGAGCCCAAAGGGTTAAAAACGAAAACCTTCCTTAGGAAAGATGGCTCTTCCTGAAGCTAACTGGGCGAGCAAATGCGCCTAGAACGCTCGATCAGATTACATACAAGACTAGTTATATACGGGGACAAGCAATAAGAATCATTAACATGCAATGTACTATTATCGTAAAGGTTTGTTTGCGATACACTGAAGTCACAACACCACTGTCACATTTCTCCAATGACGATCAAGAAAGTATTGTTTTCTCTTCCGTTATTAATTCACACTTCATTGAACCTTTCTGTACATTCCAGTAGATCTACTCATACACGTATTATACTGTTATGTATTGCTAGATTTCATTATTGAGACGTATCACTCCCTTAGTATTGACTCACACAGATTTTTGCCATACCTAAGCAGTCAAATATTCCTGCATATTTGACTCCTTATGGCTATATTGACTGCTTATATTTGACTCCTTTTTAGGGATTGAACACATGCTTTGGTTAGTCGTGATAAATCTAATATTGACTGAGTACGAGGTCAATATAGGAAATAAAAGCCGAGTAAAAGAGCAAGGTGAAGCCGAGGTCTTTTACAAGCTCTCTCGTTTCCTATATTGACCTCGTACTCAGTCAATATTAGATACGTATTTCCCTCATGAATGTCTCTTGGAAATCGATTTTATCACTCGTATTATATTCATTTACTTTGTTATTGCTACGTACAATACCTATCCGCTTCGCTAATTCTTCTTCTCTTGCCTCATCCACATGCTTCTACACGTACTTGTCCGCTTCACCTCCCTCCTGTTTTAATGTCCTTTTGTCCACGGGGTGATTACTAGCCATAGCCTATACTATAGCCGCAGAGTATATCCGTACCCCAACTCCACCATGATACAATGAAATGTGGCTAGTACTACTACTAGATAACTACTTACATTGTTGTTGTGCGCCACACAGCACATAGGTCATAGCAGCTGGTCGTCTTCACTGCATGTTCTGCACTAACATTCTTCCACTTCCAGAGACTTTATTTCTGCAGACAGGTAGACCATGTAGACTGTTCTGCTGCTGCTGCTGCTGCTGCTGATGCTGCTGCTGCTGCTGATGCTGATGCTAGCTACACTCTTTCACGATTAGTACTGTCTGATACCAGCGCTGAGCACGAGGACCACAGTACAGATGGAAGCAACTTGTGCGAGGATGTGATAACGGCAGGCTTCCACCACCTCGCATGCAAATGTCCGTCCGCCTGTTGTGTAAAGCACAAGCGTATACGCGTAGATCATATGCTGTAGTCGGCACACTAGGACACGAGATTTTCACGGTGCATCATTCATCCTCATACTAGGCGCAAGCCAACTTCATCTCTCTTCCAAATAATAATTTCTTCTTTTCCGAACTCCCTGTGCTATCAAATACTTGCCAGTATTGAATTTCGCACTCTCTGCCACTGGCACTAGCTGGGGATGTACAGTACGGTGACCGCCAGACTCTAAGCCAGTGCAGAGACCACAGAGCCTCAAATCTACATGCCAGTGTTTCAGTAGTTTCTGCTTCAGCAAACACCGATTTTCCTTCACGTCCGAGTATGGACGCATCTGACGTACGCGGCAAACTGCAATGCCTTCGTTCGGAGAGAGATTCAGCCATGCAGCACGAAGAGTCGCTGTCGAAGCGCCTGAAGGCTGCAGAGGCACTAGAACAAGCTCGGCAGAGCAAGCTGTCTGCGTTACTCAGACGTGTGGAACTGCGTGAGACCGAACTTGAGGAGCAGAACGTTCGCCTCACAGCGGTGCAAGAAAAGGCCGAGCGCGCCTCACTGCGAATTGATGAGTGTGAGCAGGAACTTCGCAGACTCCAAGCGGAGGAGTTCTTCAGACGAGGCAAGATGACTCAGCAGAAGAACCAGCGGGAGGCAGGGGCTGCCCTTGGGCTTGGCCCCGCGGCAATGACCTCCACGCCTGGCGAAGTAGCCGCGGCGCAAGAAAATACTGGACAGCACCAACGTCGTGTGTCTGCATCGAAAAGCAAGCATTCGCAAGAGGATGAACTAGGGCAGCTACGGCGAAGAATCGGAGAGCTAGAGGACATAGCTGAGGAAAACGAGGAGAGAGAGGATAAATCGAATAAGCGCTCAGCTACTCTAACAGCGAAGTTGATGGACCTGGACGAAAATGTCAATGCCAAAGAAAGGCTCATGAACACAGCACGTGTCTGCGAACAAAAACTAGAAGAGAGAATAGGCAAATGCTCAGAAAACCTGGAGGCAGAGCGCAAGCGTGCCAGGATAGCTACAGACGAGATCACCCGGCTAGAGAAAGTCCTTGACAACTCCATAGAGGATAGCGACGTGTGGAAAGAGATGTGGAAGCAAGCAGCGGACTCGTTGGGGCGAACTCAGGAAGAACTCCAGGATTTGATGGATAGCTAGGGACGGCAGTGTGCAGTGTTTTGCGTCGAGACATCATGGTAGGGTTGCCTTCTTGTGTAATAGTGTTTTCCTCTGCCACGTACTTATGTTGTCGAAAGGAAGTAACTAGTTTGACCACCTCCACTCCCAGTGTAGCAGTGTAGCAGTGCATCAGATTATCGAGCCTGTCATTCTGGACACGTTCCAGTTGTACTCCACGACTGATCATCAAGCCACCAGTGGTCACCCATGGCCCAGTTGACATCTGATCACGGAAGTGATTTTCAAGCACCCAGTTCTGCATGCCTACATTATCTTGCATGCCACATAGTACTAGTAGCCCACTGGCACTTGTTCTGACTGTAGCCTACCTCACATCTTGTGGCTTATGTTATAATCCCAGCATGACCATTTTTGTTGTATCTCCTCAAAACACTGTAACTGAGTGTAAAGTGAGTGTAACCTACTATACTGCACATGTACAGTGCTGGCAACTGAAATCCGACCCCCTTGCCGGCGCGGCGCTCCGGCAAGGGGGTCGGATTTCAGTTGCCAGCACTGTACATGTGTTCTCCACAATCTCTGTGTGTGTCTGTTGTGTGTTGAAACTAACTGCGCTTGCTTGGACACTGCACTCCTTAGGGTGTTATCATTATGCCGTGTTTTATGGTGTTATGGCCTTCATGTCCAAAATGTACAGTATCCACTTTCTAGAACAGCATTCCGTATCTACACCATACAGCTTTTCTTGGCCATATTATTGTCAGGAGCCTCGCGTAACTCCGGCTATATGAACAGAATAATACTCAATCTGAGGACAGAACTGTTTCGTCCATTGTGGACAGAATAATGCGTAATAATATAACTCTTCCTGACACGTGTGATGACGGCATTGCTACATCATACTATTCAGCTCCATGAGGGAACATTAACCCGGTGAGAGCATTGGGCCGAAGGACATTGTTATCAATGGCAATACTAGTAGGCGTCGTTGCTCCCTTTCACCAATACTATGTCTCTCTTCCTGGCTTAGCTCCAAAGTCCTGGCTGACTTAGAGCTGCCATCACACTCTATTCCGGCCGTCTTTCATATGACCTCACCTCATAAGAAAGTATCCGGCCAATACTGGACTCATGATGCCCTATAGTACACCGTCACTGCATGTGTGCTCTCGGCACATTGCTCAATTTGGCAAAAATACATAATGATATACAGCCACAGTTATCATCTTGTCATGTACACTATCCATATCCGAAAAAAAAACATTTTAAAACACGCTAGACCTACAATTATTATAGCATTGACCTTGCGTAGTTTCTGTGTCACGATCAATTTCCCAAGCACGTGACAAATACAGCATTCCTCTCCCAGATCGCGGCATTGCTGCATGGATATAATTTCTTTTCGTGGAGATCCACAACTCTAGAACAAAGTCAAAATGTTACATTCATATCCACGGCATAATGTCAGACTGGATATATGCACGACGTTCCAGCGTAACCATTGCACAGCGCGTGCTGGCCACCTACTGGTATGTTCATCTACGAATGCTACAGACATTCCAGGTCTGATGGTGATTCTCCACGGCTTCTCAGCGCTGCATGCATGAGCGCTTGAAACTATCGCAGCGCACACAACGCCGCTATCGAAGTTTTATCACAATCATCGGCGCGTCGCACTTTAAACATCATATGCCCACATGGAAAAAGAAAATCAGAAAAAAATCTCACTTCCTAACATGAATTGGGATAAACAAATTTGGCAGTGTGGGAATATGTAGGAAGAAGTGATCAAGCATGCTCAATATACAATAATATATTTTCAATTAGAACTGTGGACAAAGAATTATTGCTAAATGCATGGTGAAAGGGCTCAAATTTGTTCTATTTGGATTTTGTGCAGCTGGATAAGCAAGTAAATGTGGTGGCATGCTGAACACAGGGCTAAATCTGTTATAAATTCATTGGAGATTTCCGAAGATGCGTGGATGAACGGCAGAGACTTATTTACTAATATTTGGAAGATCCCAAGGACTAAATGCTGTCCAGAAAAGTACCATACCCATAATCACATACTTCTTTTTGAATTAGTTCAGAGGAAAGCTTCGTTTCCTGTTACTCATATCCTGTCATTAACGTACTTGTAGTTCGCTGTCAAACTGACATTAGAGTGCAGGTGGCATTGAGTTGGTGTAGCCATTGCTTGGCTGAGCCATTGGAGATTGAGAGGTGTACGCTGCCGGGTACCCCATAGACTGCACTGCGGCCGTCGGCACGATCTCCATCGGCGAGTACAGTGCAGATGCATGGGCCTGGAAGGAGAGCTGGGCGTGAGGCGACGCCGGTGTGAAGACGATCGGGGCCAAGTGCGACGTGCTGCCGTTACTTGGTACGGCCTGTGATGTTTGCGGTGGGTGACTTTGTGCAGAATTGTAGCCAGGAGTTGCTGCGGCAGTTAGGCCATCGTACGCCATACCTGTCAATCAAGCAAACAAAACGGACTGTAGGTCAAAATCCGTATTGCCCTATACAGCTCAATAGAAAACGAACATGATTCAAAAAATGCCCGAAGTCATATAGCGTTCTGTTTTTGTTTATTCAATGAGCGTGTGTGTGTGTGTGTGTGTGTGTGTGTGTGTGTGTGTGTGTGTGTGTGTGTGTGTGTGTCTGTGTGTGTGTGTGTCTGTGTAATACAAAGCAGCTGTGATTTGCTTATGGAATTCGCGAATAGTGCGCAGTAACCACTCGATTGAAATGAATCTCAGCGTTGCTGGCTACTAGTGTGCAGCAGACATAGTCATTGTGACAAACAGTTACTTTTCAGAGAGTCCTTGCAAGTATTGCAGCAAAATAAAATTGTTAGGCGAGCCATTATCTCAGTTGGATTTGTAGCCGTTAATCGCCAAAATACGTGCAAGACCCAGAGGTGTTTGCCCACCCCACCCTAAACAACAATATGCAAGTGACTCATACACAATGATTGTTGTAGCAGTGGCATAGAAATTACCTGGATAAACTGCATTGCGGACGTGGGCAACTGCAACAGATGCGGTGTGCCAGAGCGGCTGGGACGGGGGCAGCTGGCAGTATGCCATGGGAGTGTTCGGATGGCTGAGCTTGTCGCCAGTGTTTGCCGTGCTTGTTGCTGCAGTGGACGTCGACGATGCTGGCATTGGTTGCACAGAGTAGCTCCAAAGGCCGTTGTACTTCTCACTGGTAGCCGCCGTGCCACTGTCCAAAGTTCCGCCGTACACCTGTGGAATGTCGGGCATCCGGACGTGTCGGTTTCCATTGTGGATGCCACCACCATCCTTGCTTGGGGGCTGGCGGGGATCGCTCTCCCAGCGTGATCGGCTTTTGATCACGGTCATGCCTTTCCGCTGACGATCCTCATTGCATGACTGTATCAGCGAAGGAAGTGTCCGTCGTCTGACATTGGTGAACCTGCACATAAACAGGAATGTTATAGTGTTCAAGATCAGTTTCCCCTTGATCCCACACATCGGCATACCACTCCATTCTTCAGTGCAGGTAGAGATCGGCTATAGCGTTGGTATTTGAATGAGCGAAATTTGATCACTATAAACGATTATTAAACTTTACGGCGTAAGTCATGACGTCATGCATATGAGATGCGTGCTCGTGAGACCCCGAGCCTGATGTACAGCACAGTGCACGCAGACGCGCTACTGAAAAAAACACTTATTATTTGCACTATACTTGGTGCGTAAAGAAACACGTACATACTGGTAAGTATGTGGGGGAACTTGCACAGACTCGACTGTGACTGTGCACTACACTGACAGTGCTAGTGTAGATCTACACGGCATGCCAGTGGTTGTGAGACTTGTCCACTCACCCCCACCGTTAGGCGCTGCATCTGCCGCTAGGGTTTACCGGGTGTCAGCGGCCGTGGTGAGTTCCCAACGGACACGATAAGTTACTGTTTCTTCTTTTTACACGGCATACACTGGCAATGGCGTGTGTGAGAAACGTCGGAAGTGTTTGTATTACTGTAAACGATCCAAAATGTGTGCAGTCAGGTGGTTTTGATATGAGAGTTTGATCACAATAGCCGGTCTATTGCTACACCCTATTATTATTGTACCCGATGGAATTAGACTGTAAAATATACTTTTGCTTTTGAATCGTGCGGTGACTATCAGTAGAATCAATATGTTACTATAGCCGCCAACACTATGACCGATTTCTACATGTACCTGGACCAGTATTTCAAACAACCAATGGGTACCATTTCTGAACTATTGCTAGCTCAGTGCAAAAGCTCCGCCCTAACGGTAATTTTTACTTGTAAACAGCCTCAATCCAAGAGTGGAGAGAGAGAAGATTTTTAAATGCAAGAGCACATATTTTATTCTTTGCCAGACACACCAACGCCATCTGATGAACTGTGGCCGCATAGTAGACTACTAAAACGAGAGAGGCATGTTCGTTTTTGGATTATGATTTTCGGATTTTGTCATCCCAAGCAAAACAACCTGCCAAGTTTTTTCAGGTCTGCTTCAACAAAAGGTGGACCATGCGCTACAGAGTTATACTTTCAAGCAGGTTGTCCAAAAATCAGGAAAGGTTAGGTTAATCAAACCACAGAGTTCATGGACAGAACCCACTAATTCCGGAGTTTGAATCAGGTTTTGAGACAGGTTCTGGCAAAAAACCGTTTGCAAAACGGTAGTCTTGAGAGACGTGATAGGCCACGTGACTTCAGTGACAGTGCATGGCCCACACATTTGTTTTCATGAGTGAGTCTTGGTCTCGTGGGTGATTTTTTGGTCTGTAGCTTGCAGAAATCGCAAGCTGTTGACAGTACCACTCACGTAATATCAGGAATTTCCTTCCAAATACAGAGATTGTTTTCACAAGGAGTACTGGTACAGAAGGAGAATTTTGCTCGTGTCTCTTCATGCACTGTCTGCTTGCCGACAGAACCTTGGTCTGTGAAGGACATGAAGAAGAGTTTATACCGTGGCACATGTACGGTAGTACAGCAGCATGCTTCCACTGTGTAGACGGGTATTGACTGTCACCGCGGGCACTGTCTTTTAGGTGCGCTTGCACCGGAGTGACGGGCAGAGCCGCGCTGAACTGCAACTTGCCGCGACACATGGCATCATGCTTACTATGCGGAGGGGTGAGCCCAGGCCTCCCCAGAAATTCTTCTGAGTCCACTGTAATGGATAATGCCTGTGAATTGGAAATCTTGGACACAGGTGGAGCAGACTAGGCCTTGGATGGACCTACCAGTAACGAAGCTGCAACTTGCTTAGTCCTGTGCGCTTACACAGCTCAGCTTTCTGCTCGTCAGTAGGATATGGGAACTGCAGTAAAGCCACGCAGAAAGCACAAACACACAAACACATACACATACACACACACACATACACAAACATACACACACGCACGCACAACAGGTATTGAGCCAAAGAAGGGCTTTTCAAAGACTGATGTCTTTTCGTGCTGGTGAGGTCTGGATAATACATTGATTATAGAATATATTGCAATGGAGCAGGAAGAGTGATGAACAGCATTTCGACTCGATAACTAAGTTTTGATGGTGAGGGTACTTGCGTTCTCCAAATATGAATAACAAAAGTAATGGATCGCAGAGAGGCTAAGTATACATGAGCAATTCCAAACGGGATTGAAGAGCATGTCCTCTTTCTTTGGTAATATTGAAGTCAAGTAAAGAATTTGAAGACAAAAAGAATGATAACAGCGAACAACAGGGTTGCTATTGGCATCATTCCACGGCATCAAGTCTTATCCAAATGCACTTGTACTTTTCTCTCTCTCCCTCACACACACACACAAACACACACACACACACACACACACACACACACACACACCCTGTTTCATAAGCCAAGTTATAGTCTATCGTTCATGCCAAGCATTTATCTCCGCCATTCTATGCTGTGCAAATAGGACTAACTGTCTTAGCCATATTTCCCACATACTCAACTGATGAGAATGGGCATGATGGCAACTTCTGGACAAGACCGTGTCAACCCTCTTATCTTTGTGATGATTGCAACTGGACAATATTTGCTCTGGGAGATAGAATTCAATTCTACGGGTATTGAGGAGTGTGCCGGAGCAGGACGGTAAAACAACAGTGAAGTTAGAGAAATTCATGCCCTAGGACTGATAATCAGCGTACTCCATTGCAACGGGAAAAAAACAAAAGGCAAATATGACTCACAATTGTCTCCAAAAAATGGATTTTAAGTTAGAGCCTGATCTTTACATGTATCGCACTGGATAAAATGAACTTTGTCTGCTTTCCAGACGTCCACACAACACGCACGTTCGCTTTCCCTACCTCTAAATGAGCATTCAACCAGCTGTAGAGATCCTTGCTGATGTCTTCACTGAACTTGTTATGGTACGGTTGTATCGGAGCCTGGCGTATCTTTGAAGGCGATGGCATGCTTCCTATGCTTCTGCGAGACGACCGTTTCTTCGCTCCTCCCTTGTCTGCAGGTAAAAGTGGAACGCCGGACAAGAAAAGAATGCATGTATTGCAGTGCATGTCTGCTTCCAAAGGTTAGGATTGGAAAACCAATATCCATCTTGACAAGATGCAATACAGGCTCCCCAGACTCTTACAAAACTGATGGAAAAATGAGACATCCATACATAGTGTATGCATCGGCAACCGTCTCCCCCCATCTGAAAATGCAGAAAATACGTATCGGTCCAATGTGGAAGAGTCCCACGCAAAAACGGCGGAATGGCTGCATTTCGGATATTAAGGCAATTGAAACTTCTTTCAATAAGAAGAAAGAACCAAAAAGTTACGAGTTATGACCCCCCCCCCCCCCTCCTCCTTTCTTCTTACGTTTAACACTATTGGCTCAGCATCCGAGTTTTAAAACTTCTTTTCCCAGAATTTTAATCAAGAAGATAACTACCGTATTTTCCCGTAAGTTAGTTCTCCCCAATGACTTAGTACTCCCCTATAAAAAATACACTTTCCACTGCCGAGGTTATCACCCCGAAAGACAGTTCCCCCCCGAGATGGTAAGATCGTACCCGTCCTACATGTACAGACACCGTACAGTACATACATCATATGCACGGACACTAGAGTTGCGCAGGCTTCCCACTGCGTGTCATTTACCCCCGATAAAAAAAAGTACTCCCCAAAAGACAGTACCACCCCCGAAAGTTAGTACTCATGTGGCTGCTAAGTTCGAAAGTTGGTACGTACTAACTTACGGGGAAATACGGTATTACAGGTGATGCACATTCAAAAATGTACAGCTGAGCATGCACAGTACTGTTACTTCAGAAGTAGATGAGATCGGGCCCAAAGTGCAAACAAAGCCTGTGCTCTGGGCCAGTTCTTATTACATCACTGTATTCGCAACATACATACATCCAGCAGCAGCATTTGCTGTTCAACTTCCAGGACGCCAGCTATTCTGGCATGCCATGAGATAATTATTGAAAAAATCCAATTAATAGTGAGGCAATGAGGTGCTGTAAGGAGGCTTGGCACTCCTATGGTCAGATCTACACAAAGCTGAGGTGTAAGAAATAACATTTCTTTGAATGAGCAAAAGGCCATGAGAGCAGCCACCTTCCATTGACAACAGAGGCATCTCTGACCACACCTGTTAAACCACTGCAGTTGCTGATAGCTCTGATTGCACTTGACCTTGGCCATTGTGGAGTACAACAATGTAAGTGGCATGTTAACTTAACTGTGCAATGTGCACACTATACGATCATGTACATGGCTACAATTTGTATATAGACATGACCACAGGTGGAAATACCTATGTTGATTGCCTCACATGGCTAGATACAATGAATGCATGTGCACGGCCACACTGATATGTACAATGTGCTGATCACCGCACATGGATGCATGTATGTACAGAGTATCATGCACGGCTAACGACAAATGAGTGCACTCTCTCTCTGTATCAACTTCGCTCTTATCCTGGTAGGTGCATTTTATACTGGATGGCTGAGGCCTCATACAACCATAACTATGCATTCATGATTTTCAGCATATGCCTGTAGAGCTTGCCACAAAGTGCCAAACATGTCAGACATCCAGGATATTGCACAGCTAATGATTCAAAACTCCACATATGCATTGGGATAGAAACTAGACCAAAGTCCTCAGCTTTGCTCACCCATGCATGAAGAAGTTCACAGCCATGACACACATTGGAAGTTCAGCATTCAGGCATCCTGGTTGTGTTATAACACAACCAGGATGCCTGGATGCTGGACTTCCAATGAAGGACCCAGCACACCAGGTGTACAACTTGTAGGAGGACTTGCAGATTGGATGGTCCTGGATCAAAACGAAATATCGATGATGCTGCCGAGACCCTACGCCTGTTCTTGCCCCGTCTTTGAACTTGGTTACCATTGCCTTCTACCCTCCAGCTGTTCTTTGTGGACACTGGAACTGTGGACGAACGCGTGTTTAAAAAATGTCTTTGATGATGCTTTCGAGCCGACTTCTGCTGCATATTTGTATGCTTCGTTATGATCCAGAACATTATCTGGTGGCTAAGAAAAGTATGAATGCCGCAGACAACACCACGCAACAGGGACAATTTGTTAGAGATTTGAAATTCTGTGTTTCCAGAATCGATTTTCAAGCTCCAATCATCAGATATCATTACCTGATGTGTGGCTTTGGTGTAGAAATACCCACTACGAATAACCAACATTTCTCACAAACAGTGGTGCGCTGAACTTCTCATGCTTTCCTCAGCACGTGAGCTTGGCTCACTACGTGTGTGAGCTTGTGGTGCTAAAGGAATTGTACCAAGAAAAGCTTGGGCATGTTCCAACGTAGATATTTACCGTCAGAACTTGTTCAAAACATGATTAATTTTGTGTGTTTGGGGAACATGATTCAGCGAAACCGTTCAATGATATCCCTTTAGCAGTAGACATCACGATTGTGGATTTTCTACGTGGTTAGTAGGACCTTTTTGTTCGCCCAAACCACACGCTAACACCTGATGTTTGCTGCTGGCATCGGTCCATGACCGACAACTGCATCTACCGTGTGAGCCATGCGTTCAGGTGGTCGACGGGACTTCTTTTACGGCCAGGGTGTTTCCTGCTAGCGCCACTGATTGGAGCAAAACAGCACCTGTCATCTGTCACTGTGTGCACCCAGCCAGAACAAGTAAACCTGCGCAGACACCCTGTGGCTTTACATGTAAGCACACAGTAGATGCTGGTGGCGAGGCAAAATTTAACTCAACTCTTGTTCTGGCTAGCTTCGGTATGGGCGCCATACTATGCTTTGCAGGCATACACGAACTTGCTGGCCTCGTCAAAGTTGCCTGCCGCATGGGATGGGTAGCAATGTGCAGGTTCACCAACACTGTAAATTAGCCATGCAGGTGTGTGTGGGTAGCAATAAGCAGATTCAGGCTGCACTGTTCCCACCAGGCATAACACTGGGTGGGTGAGACGCACGATATCAATGATTACTAGGCGGCTATCGGTCACACAAGTCACACATCACTAGATTCCACATCATCTCTAAAATACTGTAGTGTGCAAGATGACCAAAACGACAATGTCATTATGCGAGCATTGTCTAAGATATCTAGAAATGGCACTTTCGAGTCGCTAATTTCATTACTTCTACCACAGGTGTGTCGCTCCAGATTCCAGCTTGTAAATTCAGAATGAAGCAATGGGAGGTGTTTTTCAGAGTCCATGGCATCAACAATAACATTTTATTTGCCATGCACTTTGACTGCAGCAGAGAATTTGGCGGCAATGACTGAATACATGAAGCGTTTGGTCTCCCGACAAGTGGGAAGAGTGTTGCCAGCTGACCTAGTGTAGACCATCATCAAATCCCCGATAAACCATCCACCATCACAACATCGCTTTTACCCCTGCAAATAGCCCCCTGAAGCTCTTGTGACTAGATATCTGTAATAGTTTACCAGATGGGACCAATGTTCGCCCTTTGAGAAAAAAGTTGACAAAACACGGAAATGGGGGGGGGGGGTTAGGATATTCTCGGAATTTAATCTCATAACCTTACCCGTTTTACTGGCTTCACGAGGATGGAAGGCACTTTGGTAGCCCGTTCTGGTTCCGGCTTGAAAGGATAGCAGGCTGTCGGCGTCCGACTCTGCCGTTGTTCTATTGCACAACGAGCCGTGCTGGACAGGTGAGGACGTTGTCGGATGCTCCCACTCATTAGCTGAGTCCTTGCTAGTCGGGGTCAGCGTCATCGACGGTTGCTGCTGCTGCTGCTGCTGCTGATCAGTCACCCGCAGAGAACTGCAATCGAACACTTGTCCGCAGTTCAACTGTCCGAGTCGAGAGCGGCGCCGAAGTCCGTACGTCGGCGAGTTGTTGTCAGCTGCGGACTGATCGGCGTGATGAAGAGGTGGACTAGTGGCAGCGCTCAGAGGACTGTCGTTGTTGCTTGTCACTGTGCAATGCGGAACTAGTAAGGTGTCAACGACGCTGTTCATGGCTTCCTCCTGCAACATCACGCTCGGAGAATATCTGGTCGCAAAGAACACGCCATTTGCATTCGAAAACAACAAACACCAAAATACTTCGTGTTACAACCAAACAAGAGAACAACGCGACATTTTCTTTCAATTTTTTCACAGCATGAAACGAGTTTTGGTTGATAGCTTTCTTGAGAGGCACTCAGCTATCCACTATAAGAGCGATACACTGCTGACTAGGGACTTACTGCATCGGTTACGGGGAAACTAACGTTGACAGAACCTGGCGAAGACGAAAGCCAATGGGCGAAGGAAGGTGAATTAGCGCTCTTCTTCGCTTCGACGCTGCTACAACTGGCTTCGAATTTTCTACTGTTTGTGTAGATATGAACGCGAAACCGGGACACTGGAGAGCGTCGCACAATGCCAGGTTTAGAGGACAGCGTCCTGTCCAAAGGAAGCAGGCGATAGCATGTGCCACGGAGGATGTGTCGCAAGCTCGATTGCTTCTTTGTGGCAGGCCTGTTTCCTCGCTGCTCAGAGCATCATTACCAGTCGGCCAGTCCTGTGAATCACCATGATCACGGATGCACTACCTGGCAAATGGGACAGGGTACGGGTAGACCACTAGACGCGTGTTGCTGACGAGAGCAAAGAAGGAAGGCAACCTAAATGTTTACGGGCCTTCTCCTCAGAACAGGTCAAGGTTTGAAGTGGATCAGCCCCTCCTGTAGCCCTGGTTTGGGGACTTGGGAAGAAAGCGCCCATACCGAAGCTAGCAGACGAAGCACCGACCGTAGAGTGTCGTAGTGTTTGTCACTTGAGGCGACTACAGACCTCACATCTTCAACAGACTTGAACTGTTCCAAGCCAGGAGTACTAAAATATCAGTAGTTTACGACTCATTGGTTTCGAGACGATGATAATGCGTAATTTCTACCCTGCAGGGCCTGATTATTGCTGCGTGTGGTTTCGTCTGCGTCAGATGTGCGGGACAGGATGAGCACAGCCACATGGAACAGACTGCGATGGACACCTAGTTGGACCTGGGTTGAGCTGTGTCCGTACAGCTTCGGCACTCAAACTATGTCCAACAGGCAACAGAACCAAATCGAGGCCAAAAAGCTCGACTTGGCAAGTAACATGACTGGTGAAACGACGAAAGAAGACAATAAAGTCATGTTGAAGGCAGATCATTATCAACAGGAACAACAGTGTACCGTGTAGATGCATGGGTTGTGTCATTGGCATCTCGAACATGTGTTCCCTGCCTGGAATTCATAGTCAAAACGTACCGAGCTCAACCAACACGGTCTGAAAGACACCCCACACTGGGCCCACATTAGCTCGACTACACTGCTTTATCAAGATGAAATGCCCACTTGCGCTTTGTTCATGTACCTGCAGATTGGGGAAGGGCACACGGAAACACTGCTTTGAAGCCTTTGGGAAATCCGTGAAACACTCAAGTTACAATACAGCACTGAAGGAATAGAAGCACGTGTATGCTATGTGTATGTGTCATCCATATTGATGGCGCTACGGTCTCCCTTGGACTAGTTTTTCCCATGGATTCTTACAAGCTGCCCGTACCAGGGCGACTGTGGAGATCTCTGAAAATGGGATACAACTTAAAAGACCAAGTAATAGTTCCAAGCATACGTAATGGTCATCGCATCCGCCTGATGTCACGAATGAACAGCCCGTGTGTTGGCGCCAGCCGGCATACCCATACCAGCAGGTCCCATTGCCTTCATTCTGCTACCAAGTACTGGCACATCACTGGGATCAAGTTCACGGCAGTGACAACCAGGCATTTTTTCCAACTGCATGGCACAAGCCCTTTTCCCAAAAAGCGTTAATGTTGTCCAACAAAAGTCCTTTACTCATTAGAACCACGCCATGTTTAGCAACATGATTACTAAGATAGGAGGGTGGAAATGACTACACTAGCTGATCATACAACAGTTGATTCCAGTTGCCTTTGCTTCGTCTAGCTCCTAACAAAACGTTAACTGCTCTGGCACTATTATGTTTGAGGAAGATGATCAAGGAGAATGGCAGTCACAGCGTCCTTACATGTACATACGTCTCGGCGTTGAGGAGCAGTTTGGCGCTGGAACAGCTTGCAAGCACGCTGAGTTTATGGGAGGCATCTAATACAGTATACCACCTCTGCACAGGGGACGTGTGGAGAAAGAAAGAACGCCTATAGCCCCCACTTGGACCAGTGCGTGCCGCTCGCGCTACTCTGGGGTGTGGGTAAATGCGGCGGAGGAATTCGTCTACGGCTTCCTCTTGGACTTACTTCTTATCTCTATTCTGTTTGTTACAATCTTAACAACTCGTTAATCATTCGCACATGACTTCAGTGCGGACAAATCATGCAACTGTTCGCACTAAGCTTCGCTCATGCTGAGAAACAAAAATGAAGTGGAGTTATTTCGAAGTTCGTCGCTGACACCAATTGATTTCAAATACCCGTTGTCCATCATTTTAAAGATGTGCAATTTGCTGATGTCGTGTAGCGTTACAAACGTCACGCAGCTGCATGCAAGTTACCCGCATAGGCCTGCAGGCCTGAAGCAAAAGACCTTCGCACCAGACGAAAGCGAAGTCGTTCTTCCACTGGCACAGCGCTATTGTCTCCTGTAAGAAGGTTCAACTGCAGTTCGCTTCTGACGTCAATTGGACGACCGTTGGAATGAGATAGCAGAGGCTGGGACGTTGCTGCGCTCTCTCAGACAGCGCACGTTTTTGTGCAAAAGTTGGAAGTGAACTTTTGGAACGACTCGCTAGTGTGCTGCGAAAGGAGGTGCTTTGAATTCCAGCGCTGAAATGCCTGTGAGAATGGCCGCTCACTAGTTCCTCCGGCTTCGTTATACATGTACACCGAAACTAGCAGTTAGCCAATCGTGCGCGGTCATTCAAGTGATAAATCATCAGTGGCGGGAAGATTGTGCAGAGTCCGTAACAAGCTTTGCGGCTTGCTGATGGCTCTCGTGCAATCGACACACTGGAGAGGCCTATTGAACCCATGAACTGCGCCTTTTGTTGTCCGCAAAGCATAGCCCATTGTAGTTTCACCAGGGGTCTGATGGCAAGGAGAAGAGCAACTAGTCCGCGATCATATCACATGCTTGGATCGACGAGTTGGTAAATTCGATCTTTCTTTCTGGTAAAAGTCACGTCTGTCGTCAGGACCCTTCTTGTTAGTACATGTAGTTGAGAGGCAGGGCCAATGCTCTTCAAAACCTGCCATGTCAATGTTCACTTCCTTCTGTTATTGCTATCTCCCGTCCTTGACCCGTACTTGAACCTTTTCCGCTAGGCAATTCTCAGAAACAATTTTTTTAATTGCAGCTGGTTGATGCGACGGCTCGCTGCAGCTGGAGGAGCTCAGCAAGTCTGAAATACAGTCATGAAATACAGTCATGCAGTATTTCTTTCCGTATATAACTGTGCTCCAGTCTTGTACGCCTGCTGTGTGTTAGGGCTCCGTTCTTGGGAAAATATGACACGCTGAAGCTTTGTAAGGATGCAGCTCTTCGCAGGGTTCAAATATAAAAGCAAGCACTTGTACTGTCGGTAAGATGCTAATTACCCCCCTAGCGGGGATTCAACAATGATAACCCAGCAGCCATGTACCGGTAAGGTATGCCTGGCACCCGAAAATTCGGAGAATTTTCATGTACATTATACCGTACGAGAAGGCAATAATTGACCTGGTTCTGGGCAACCGGGAGAATGCGGACTAGGGTCCAGGAATCTCTAGTCGGCTGCATGTTTTGTTTTGGTCGTCCGGCCTCATTTCTTGGTGTTGCTCGGATGACTGTGCACACAGGACGAAACTTCACACAGTATTGTCCATGGATCAATAATGCTTCAGTAATTATTATTATGTCTTGTCACAAGGCTTTATGTAGGAAACAGAGCAATCCCCGGCATGTTGTTTATGGGGAAAGAAGCATCTGTCAACCTCTCCATCGCTGTAAATCCCTGAGGTGACGGCTCACTTAGCCAGTACTTGAAGGAATCAAGTATCTCTATTTGATCTCTCGCAATTTGCACCGGACAGTAGATTGACCAAGCTAATTGGATAAGGACTACTACCTGCCCATCGCCTGGCACAATGCTGTCCAGAGCACGCAAACAATCCCTGGAACGAGTCCGTGTCAGGCAAATGCCAGTGATCGTGTCGTAATGGATTTCTGCTGCTCCTTCTCAAACTTGTTGTTACACGTTGTTGTGTTTTTCATCGTACACTGCGCACTTCAGTTAGAGACACAGCATCGTTATAACACCAAAGGTTGGTTAAGAGGTTGGGAACATCTGCAATGCCTTATCGAGTTGTCTGCGGTCCTCCCTGTTGCAAACACAAGGCCTATGGAATTACCATGCGCCTCAGAACGCAGCTCATATTTCGTTAGGGCATTCAACAGCGTACCTGCCACACCCCTACCCCGCGACTCTGTTATGTGTTGAGAATGCAATGCCTCGTACTCGTAGTATGAATTTCCAGCTCGCTAAAATGGAGGCGAGGCATGTGGGCATATTAATGTTTGCATGCTGCGCGCAGATTGCCACATGTACAATACTGCTATTGGTACTACTGGTGCCAATCCTTGCATTTCATACCGATAACTGTGATCATCAGCTTCACTATCCGAGTTAACTCACAAACTTTGCCAAATACGCATACACACATCTGCACACATGCACTCTCTTTCGCACCCCATCTCTCTTTCCGGCGTCCATGGTGTGTGCCTGTTCATAGTCGTTTCGTCATGAACCACAACGCTATCATCACATGTACAGAGTGGCGCACTGCAGGGAGGAAGGAAACGAAGTTCGAAAATGTAGTTCTGAAGCATACCTGTAGTGTACTGAGCTCAGACTCATGGCAAGCAGGTGCAGATGAGCTGCACTCTCGTCTCAGTGGACACCACGTCCTTCATGCTCACTTCTTCCCATTCTGGCTCAAGTCAGTCCTGAGAATGCCAGCTGCTGGTAAGTGTGTCGTCGCAATCGTGATCTTATCCCATGGCATTGTAGTTGTTAGTGGCACGCGTTGAAACACTTGTGCTTTGTGTCACCATGCTCTTTGTTTGCCTTGCCCAATATTCTCACCTCCCACCATCATGTATTGTGCATCATCGCACGCCCATGCGCCACCTTCACCATGGTTTGTGGCGAACACTTCACGCTTCCCAGTCGCTTGCTGACCAGGGTAGGCCACACTTGTAGCAAGTGATTCTCCGTGGCTATCCTTAATGGTGCAGTCCCTGATTTGGGATGATGGGGCGTTCCCATACAGTCATGTACTAACTACAAGTATAGTGGGTACCTTTGTGTATCCATAATGCCATTATTGATAAGCTCTTGGGTGTTACTATCTGGTGTTTGAGCCTTTAGCACGAAATTCTGGGTCTCAACTAAATCCCGAGTGGATCGCTTCCCTCTTATCTATACGAGGCTCTGCTCTGTCGGCATTATCAACAATTATGGCAGTCGCCACACGTAGCAACCCTATATTGTGTGCGTGGTTCAGTAACTATGCCATTAAAACAAAATTAATGTAGACCTGCAGCTGATGATCGACTTAAAAACGCTTTGGATGAAGCTGCACTTGCAAAATTGCAATGCAAGCCGCAGATAAGATCTTGCTGCCTGATTGATTAGACAAACTGATATATATATATATATACCAACCAAGCAACCGAGCAAACCCAGACGAATGTCGGTGGATATAGCATACACGTTCACGCGCCCTATTATCTTTCCACAAAAACAAGGCACTGTAGTCGACTTCGGAAGTTGAAAATAGTCCTCGATACCCGAAGGTAGGGCTCTCTATCCCAGAAGTCAGGATCGTCGGTTTCGACTCAAGCTTCAAGTAGTTTCATGCTGAGCGATCATCAGTCGAGATGGTACCATACAAACTACGGTGCTTCTAAGAGAAGCATTCACCGTACAACGGATAGTCATCTGGTCACGCACTTGTACTTTTCCTATTTACATAATATGTACATGCACTACATGTACTTCCTTACTGCCAGATACTGGTAACTTTGGCCTCCCTATGAGATGGGAAAGACAATCACTGAAAACTAAAGATCGCACACACATACATAAACACATATACATGTACACACACACACACACATGTTGCCAAGCTGTGACAATTGAAGATGGTCGATACATGCTAGTATTAGCCTACCGAATGGATCTGATGCGTTGACACCCATTGAGTGTTGCGTTTGAGCCATGCCTCCCTCCTCTTGAACGTTACAATGACACCCGTCTGGCAGTGTGCTGCTTGAAATGGTAATATGGATCGTAGATAAAGCCACCTCGACTAACAATGGTTCACTAGGTAACAGAGAAATCACAGAGACACACGAAGTACTAGGTGTCCATTCTGGACGCTGGGTAGTGGGTAGTGTGTGTGTGTGTGTGTGTGTGTGTGGTCGACTTTGACTACGTAATTTCGTACATGTGCATGTACGTGTACATGGATATCCTGTGTCCTCTGGGACTGGCACAACGCTCGTACTGATGATTGTGGCTCTGCAACACAGATCTACAGGCAGGCATGTGCATGCATATGCTCATGAATACGAACGCCCTTCTGATCTGGTGGTTGAAGTATTCAATCTTAGTTCGTTTAACCGCTCAACGACATCGGAACAATGGGTGTTTGTGTTGGTGACGCTACCTGATTCACGACAGCAACCCAACACAACAACAACAACCGTGTACAGTCGTCCCTCTCTAATCCGGCACCTTTTGCAACGGCATGTTCTGCTGGATAAACAAGGGTGCTGGATTATCAAATCCTTCCCTCCAACCCGGCCCACCTGTTAACTTAACCCTTTAAGAGCCACAGGAAATTTTCAAAATTCTGCATTTTTTCGTGTTCTTTGGATCATAGCTTCAGTTCTACTCACTCAATCCTCACAATCTAGGGCTTCCTGGAAAGGTCTCCGCGAGAGGAAGAGAATGAGGTCGATCATGATAGCCAGCACACCGTCTATCCAGCGCTAGATCGCAGCGACAGCACGAAAAATGCCCCAAATGCGTCCAATTGCGTCCCGCTCCAGATATTTCATTTTGCTCGATCGTGGAGTTCCAATTTTTTCGCTGTGTACTCTTGACAATATCAACAGTGAAACCCGTGCAAATTCGAGTAAACCAGCGTGACGAGAAGTCTCAAAATTCTCAATACTAAAGTCGCACTGCGCGCTTTTGAAATTGCCGCGATCGCGGCTCAACTTACGAGTGATTTATCTCAGGAACCGTTGCTCGCAGCGCTTCGCGAATTGTTTCTCCCGACAGGTGAGAGTTAACACACATGTTTGTGTCGTACGTCAAAACGTAGGGATTTTCTGTGTCAATCCGAGTACTTTGTGGAATGCATGATACACTTGG